ACGTTTTTTTGTAAAAATGTTTACTTACTAGACCACAATGAGCATCTCTCTTTCACAGGCAATGAGAAATGGGAGGAGCTTGCATAATTTCTGGTCACGTGATTACAACTATAAGGCGTTGCCTGGTTACAGGGGGTAGTTCAATTTACCCCCTTCTCCCTACTCCCTAATTTTTGCATCTCTTAAGTAGATATTTCACCTGCGCTAGCTGAACATTGTTTAATAATTCAGCGGGGGCGTTTTGTTCTGTTGGCTGCGTGACATTGGCCTGCAGGAGAGGAGGTGCTGTGCGAGCAGATGTCTTCACCAGCCATGGGTAAACAGAAAGCCATGCATGGGCATAATTCAGCCCCGGGAGATGTATTCCCTCCTCCTCTCTTATTCCCTCATCGTTTTTGACATTCTCTGTCTGCACATTTTCTCTACTGAATCCTGAATTTCAGCCATAGGTGCTTTTAATTGTCAAGTACTGGATGTGATAATGATCATGCATATCTGCTGATTTCGTTCACAATAGCTCCTTTGTCCTTGCTTGTGTTTTGATATTATGAGCAATTGAGGTGAATTTTAAAACCAGGGGTGTTTCTCAATCGCGAGTACGCTTGCTTGGTAGCACATGTCTTCCGAGCGTCTTGCTTCAGAAGCGAGGCAAGAATACTTCCTGGCATTCGGAAAACGAAGAGTGGAACACGCTAGCAAGTGTGCAGGTGTGCGTCATATGAGAGGCCCCGCCTTACATTTTCCGCCACAGATTTGGGGAAATTGGTCCCTGCGCAAAGCATTGTGGGGATTTTAAGACCGCGGAGTCTACACATGTGCAGCCTCGACATTTCTCCTAACGAAGTACGCCGGGCTCGGTAGATTTCCAAGTATGCTGGAGATTGGAACAGTACTTCGGCGGCACTCGATTACGTAGTATGTTTGAAATAGTGGCTCTGCAGCAGCTTTACTCGCGATTGAGAAACACCCCAGGTCTCTTTATTTTTGTTCAACTCCATAACGTTTTGACATTAAATCCTCTGCCACATTAACTTGCGGCTCGAGGGATGACAATGACTATTTAGATGATGGATTGCCAGGAAATCCTGTACAAATATTCCTGTTCCCCAAATGATAATTCATAATAGCTAAGTTTACTCATGTACCCTCACTCCCTTCTTTACTGGTACAGTCTCTCCTCCCCGAGCTCTATCTCTGTCTTCCCACTTATAGTCCATTTAAGCTACGTCTTTTGGGCTTGAGGACAGGTCCATCATAACTATTGGGCCATAACAAGGACATGTGGTGTATTCTGTCACACGTCTATCAAAGTCACCAGTGTCAGGCAGTATTTTAATATTGGTTAATATTGTCTGCTTATCTGTATTATTGTGTTGCACTGTTGGAGAAGCCTGTGACATAAGATTTTCAACGACATAATTACTCTGTAGCTATGTTAGTTTGACAATAAAGAATCTTGAACCTTGAACCTTGAACCAGTGAAGTGTGCACTCACTTGGAAGAGGGTGGGGGAGTAAAGGAGAGCCGGGGGGAAACTATTCTCAGGTTGAGCTTAAACAGTGAACACAGTCTGGACCATCATTCATACCAGATACTCTCTTTAATGACCACGAAATAGGGAAATTCTCCTCTATATTTAGTCTTCCCTAAATATACTCATGTTCTGAACATTAGCCAGAGATGTTTTGGAGAACACATAGCTGCTGTCTTAATAACGTTCACTGGAAACCTTTGTGTCGGTTCAGAAAGTGAAGCATACTGAGGGAGAGGGGGGACTGTTTTCTGTCTAGGGTCTGCAAGTCTTCAGGTTTAGGCCAACATTTGCTTATATTTCAACAATGATTTGCTGTCTTCCCAAGGGTTTGATGATAAGGTTTATACCACCTTTACTGCAGTTGTGACAAAGTTAGTAGCAAAAAGACTTGAGGCAAGCCTGACTATTTCCAAGGTCAAAAATAAACGGAAACACAAAGGCTCAACAATTAGCATGCTATATCAAAATAAAATCTTATCTGTAAACAAACTGAACAAATATAAAGACAACAATTTATGCATTTTAGAGGTAGAAAATGCATACATTTTTGTATAAAATTAAACCTTGTTGTTAAAGAAATCCAGCCTAATTTTTTGACAAGTTGAAGCCAATCAATGATTATTTTGAGTTACTATAGAGTACATAACAGTAAACAAAGCAAGTAAATACTAATGCTCAGGACAATTGTTTTGCATTTTCTGTAAATTGGTAGTGTCTAACCCTATATTTCTTAACGATAAAGGCAACCTAAGATACTGTCTGTGTGCACCAGTTTTTAGCAGAGGTCTCTTATGAGTCAGGCATCATCCCTGAGACTCCTGGAAGCTGCAAACAGTTTCTGCTTCCTGCTGTAGCTCGAAAGAAATGTGACAAGTTGTAGAAGTTACACAACGTGACTCTTAACAGCAAATGTTTTTTGCATTTCTGTTTGTGTATGCCACGTACATCATGTAATTGCTAATGCTAATTATTTGTATATTGAGGAGACACAGTTGAAGAGACTAAGCTGCAGGAGTGTGCAGTCTGCTCTCTCAGGCTTCACTAACTGTATCTGTTGTTCTCTGATAACATACTGCTGTTCTGCTCTGTGAACCTTAATTATACACAACTAAAGCGTTTACTTTCAGCACTCCAGCAAATATGCATATGAACATATTAACGTCATACACTGCATAGTGACATCCTGAATCAACACCTCCCTAAATTCAGTTGTAGAGGGAATCCAAACGCCAAACTTGCCTTGAGTCTGCACTTGGCTTCAAACAAACAAAAGAGGAGAGGATCTGACGTATACAAATAAAAAAGTATCATAAATGTTTAGTTTACAACCGCCCAAAAAGCGGACTATAACTACCAAAGAAAAACTAAAAGGTTAAATAAAGAAATCTTATTTCTGACAAAAAATGAGTGAAACCGAAGTACAAAAGGCAAATTAAAGTAAGATATTTGAGTCAATACAAATTAATTATTATTTTTACAAATTGTTTATGAAGTTTTTTTAGCTCTGGACAAAAGAATCAGGAACCAGGTTCATTATTAATAATAATAATAATAATAATAATATTAATAATAATAATAATAATAATAATACATGAGACTTATATAGCGCTTTTCTAAAAACTCAAAGATGCTTTGACAGAGAATAAAAACAACAAAAAAACAAAGAAAAAAGACAAAAAGAGATAAACAAAGACAGAAAAGAGGGGGGGGGGGGGGGTCAGTGGTTGAATGCAGTGTTGAACAGGTGGGTTTTGAGTGATGTTTTGAATGCGGTGAGGGAGGAAGAGTCTCAGATGGGTTGGGGTAGTGAGTTCCAGAGGGTGGGTGCAGCAACGGAGAAGGCTCTGTCGCCCCAGGATTTGAGGTTGGTCCGGATTGGGGGGGGGGGCACAGGAGGTTGGCAGCAGCAGAGCGGAGGGAGCGGGTGGGAGTGTGTCTGTGGAGGAGGTCAGTCATTTAGGATGGGGCCAGGTTATGGAGTGCTTTGTATGTCATCAGGAGGATTTTGCAAGTGTGAATATGACATTGCCAATGGTACATACCTAAGTATTTTTAAAGTATTGTGGCAATTTAACAACGTTTTAGGAAGTAGAAAACTATTTAAGATTAGAAAAATATTGAGTTTGACTGGCTGGGACTCTCTAAGGACTCGCTGTGATGTTAAAATGCAGCAGACGGAGCCGACGGTCGGCCAGAGAGAGGATTCCTGACTTTGGGATGCAAGTGTGTATCTTGAGTGCCAGATTGACGCAGAGGGCTGTGCCGCCTCCTGGCTATGACACAGAGGGCGTTAATTACCATGTCTTTGAGGGGACAATTTAATCGCTGGGACACATGGCACATAATCCTGAGCACCCCAGGAGGGATCCGCTGCAACACTTCCTCACAATTAAATGCAGGACAATTCTGGAGAAGGGACCGTAAATGACAATGCAACTCTTTGAGATAGCTTAACAGGGAAGCATTTAATCAGTGTTTGCATCCTACAGCCGTACATTCAGAGGTCTTCGCAGGAACAAAATGTGGAAACAATCCAAAAGACAACTGTGGAAAACCTACTGTGCCGACCATCTCCACATAGAACTGAGGATAATGAGACACGATACAAAATACCCCCCAAAACGTAATGGACAGATAATACCGATGCCTGAAACAGCATGGTGCTCTATCAATTAATAAGCCAGAGGAACAATTATAATGTCATAAGGCAGAATGTCAAGTCATTAAAACTATTTTTTTTTAAATAGTTTTTTCACGCTTCACAGACTATTTTTGCAAAGAAAGATCATGTAAATAATAAACCAAAACCTAAATGGGATTTTTTTTATATAAAACTTTAAAATACCTTAATATATGTATAATGTATTTAAGCTATGACGCCCAATTACGTGAATTTAGGGCAATTTCTGTGGTTTCAGACAGAGGGGAGTGCTATACTAAGCTGTCTTAGCAGTTGAATAATGTTTTATGTGCCGCTTTGGCGGAGCTTTGTCAAGTCTGAGAAAATGTAACTCAACGGATCCATTTGGACACAATTGGCTCTGGATTGGAGATTTTGAATTAAAAAGCAAAAAAAGCTTGCATTTCATGCTTGATGTGCGGTCTGAAAGATATACCAGTAAGGGAGGGTCTAGAAATGCTTTTCAGGTGCATTATGGGAGGTGTAGGCTCCAGTGTTTTTGGAGCGTGACTGATACAGTGAATAAAATAAAGACATCCTAGTCTCTCCTGCATCAATATCAACACATTTTCCTGAATCAAGTCCCTAAGCTTTATGGATTTGCAGTACCAAATTGCTGCATGCAGAAACATGCCACACTTTGAGAATGATGTGCTTATTGGATTTAAAGTGTTTTGATTGATTTTTCTTTATTTTTCCAAATCTAAATAAAGTCATAACACACACTGATCAAATCAATGCACAGATTTAATTTCACTAATTGTCATTCCTCTCTCTCTGCTGCAGGGAGAGCGTCAGGACTCGGACCTCCACGAGGAAAGAAACGCCCAGGTGCAGCTGGAAAAGGCCAAGGTACTTCCTCTCAGTTGCATCATGGGAACCCACCTCCGTACTCAAAGACTTACTATTTAGAGCGGCAGCTTTCAAGGACATTGTTAAATCACAGACAGGAAACACATTCTTCAGGACATAAGATTAGCGGAACAATATTATTCTATGAAAATGAGTCATTGCAGTGTTCATCCTTTATTTACTGGATGCCTGGGGGGGAATGAAAATGAGGTATATTGATTATTGCTGATTCAGTTCAAAGGAACACTTTTTTCAGCCGAATGCTCTCCAGCATTTTAGCAATATCATTTATTTCCTGAGTCTAATACAACAACTGTTACATTTATGAAAATGAACATGTGATAAATGCTTTTTCATTTCGCGACTATGATGATAAACGAGGACAATAATCTGTAATCCTGTGTGCAAGGGAGGTGAGGGTAAGCACTACATCTAATGTCACTGCTCTGTGTTCTAGCACAGATGTATTTGGATTATCTCATATTTTCTCTCATAAAATTCAAGTTTTTAAAGTTGTCTTTTTTATGTAACATTATGATAATATTTATTATTTGTTAGTACAGGATTCCTTAATTTTGTATAGTTAAAGGTGGGGTAGGTAATTTTGGAGAAACCAGCTCGAGTGCGCTAGAATTTGAAAATACACAACCTTCCTTACAGAGCCCCTCCTCCAACACACACGAACGCGCACATGACCAATGAGGGCACGAGATAAGTTTGTGCACAGATGGAAGGCTGACAGGCAGGTAGGCCATCCAGTTATTTTAGCCGGGCCGGCTAAAATAATTGGTCGTGCTTTTTACAGTATTACGGCTTCCACAGATGACATTTTTTAATGGATTTTTTGTCAAAGCACTTAAGATATTCATTGCTATCGGGATGTTAAGAGCATTCCATGGAATATAACAAAAAGTGTATCTCGAGCCGGTTTCTCAAACTTACCTACCCCACCTTTAAGTGTGATGCAAGGATTTGAGAACTATGCAGCAGAAATGTTTGCCTTCTTCTTTCTCGTCGCATTATTCATCTTGAAAATACTTTATTTATTTTTGAAAACCCCTTAGGGGAGCATGGCCTGCAGGTTAGGAACCGGAACAGTATGAAGTGGCAGTAATAGTGATGTTTCAAACATTTATTTTTGATTAATTACTCAAAGTCAAGTTGACCCATTGCAACCTGTAAAATGAAAATGAAAATAAAATGTTGCTTGCTGGCATAAGAAAATGTGTATGGTCCCGTGCACTGGCTACAGCTGTTGTTTCGATTCACCAATGGGTTATTTTCCACTTTTACTTCTGTGGAGGTAATGAAAATTAAGGTAATTTCCCAAATAAATTAAAATATCAGATCCTATATCAAACTCTTCACCTGCTAATACACGTCCCATTGAATATTGAATTAAATCCTCCCCACATATTAAATGCACTCCAACTGGTGCTCTGTAATTGAAGCAGCCCGTCACCTACTGAACCCCCCTCCCCCCCTCCCACAGCCATGTCTCTCCAAAGTGGAGTAATTAGCAGCCTGACCTGCGTGCCTCTGACATTTGGCTCTGATAGGATTACACCACCAACGGGCGTTCAATCAGACGGACGGGTACAGTAGCTGCTGATACTGTGAAGCAAATCTTAATTTGTCATAGTAGGAAACAAACATGAATCACTTATAAAATGTTATGTGTCACACTTGTCATGACCTACTTGGAGACTTGAACAGAACAGAGCCAACATGCATAACAAGGACAGGAAAAAGTTAAAGTTTTAAGAAATAGTATTGTCATTGTTTACAGTAATGACAGTTAAAAAAAAACTGCAAATATTCAAATATTTCAAGGATCCTTTCTAAAATACAATTATATGATTAAAATAATAAAGAAATTAGTCTAATATCCATAAAGCAGAATTCACAGCCATGCTCCCAGGCATGCACACCATAATTATCCTTAAAGTGCAATTATCTCGGTATCATGATGTTTAAAATGAACATTTAGTCTCTTGGTTACAATCCTGCATATGCTTAAAAATTATATTTGAACAGATAACAGTTTTTCTTTCCCGACACAACCTTATTATAAACGTGAGAAATATGGTTTGCAATCTGTAGATTCATTATAATGTGTGTTCACCTGCAATTTAGTGAAATATTAATAATTCTTTGCACAAAAATGTGTTTGTCAGTAAAACGTAGGCAATAAAGATGACTGTGACATCCGTTAGTAATAACATTTTTGTATGATCTCCTGTCTTGTGTTCGCAGTACAAGCCTGTGGCATTCGCAGTACGTTGCAACTTCTCTTACACGCCAGCAGACGACGACAACGCTCCCGTACCGGGCCATGCCGTCACCTTCGAGGCCAGAGACTTCCTCCATGTCAAAGAGGTTTGAGACACACACACAAACACAGCATTATCTATTCACATAAAGATGGGATGTAATGGAGACAAAGAATGCAAAAACTACAATGTTAAACAAAGGACAAATAAACGAAAGCCAGGCTTTAAATTCTCATTATGTTTTGTCTTTTTAATGATCAGAAGTTTAACAACGAGTGGTGGATCGGCCGGCCGGTGAAGGAGGATGGTATGGTGGGCTTCATCCCCAGTCCAGTCAACCTGGAGACCATCCTCATCAGAAGAGAAGTCCAAGCGAGAAAAGCTGCAAAGGCCTTAGCCAAGTATGTTATACTTGTTTCAATACAACAAACCAGCTCACAAGCCCTTGCTGCCGTGTGCTGATTTATCTTGTAATCCTTATTATAATCTTTATTGGTCCAGCACACATACAAGAGATACACAGAGGATCACAAGACATTCCCTTGTATAGTGTTCGAGTCTACGGGACCCGTTTTCATTATTTAGCTAAAGAAAAATGATATGATAAATTATTTTTTCAAACTCACACTCAATGGCCTTGGCTCAATTTCTGTGAAGAACATATATCAGAACACATTTTCAATGACCACCCACTGTACACCCCCCTTACACATTTACATTACATACAGGGTGTAACGGGGCTAACAAAAGTGTGGAAATTGTTGTGTGTGTGTGTGTGTGTGTGTGTGTGTGTGTGTGTGTGTGTGTGTGTGTGTGTGTGTGTGTGTGTGTGTGTGTGTGTGTGTGTGTGTGTGTGTGTGTGTGTGTGTGTGTGTGTGTGTGTGTGTGTGTGTGCGTGCGTGTGAGACTTTTGTGTTTCTATCCATGCCATTCCCGCACAAGGTTGCAACATTGTTGATAAATCAAGCACTGACACCTGTCTGCTCTCACATTCCCACATTATGTCTTGCGGGAACCAATCTTTATTTTGTTCACATTCTATCCAAGCTGAACATTTGGGGCGGGACACAATAAATAAAGCTTCGCCAGTTTGGGTCCTTATCACAACGGATCAAGATGGCCAAAAGATTCTCTGCTCAGAGGGCCTTGCAAATGATTTTGGAAGAGAGAGATGTTTCAGAATGTGAGGATCCCATTTCTGAGAATTCTGAGAGCAAAAAAACAAGTAGCACTTTAATTAGTTAATGTGATCTAACAAATGTAAAAGGGCAAATATTAACCATATATGCTGTTTACATTGCTTGTAATTGGGATGAAGTAAACATCTGTTGAGTATTTTAACATAAAATAGTTTGATTGTCTTGAATTGAAGCCCAAAAAGGCAGCGGGTCCACCAGACCCACGAACACTGGCTGAGTAACACAAATATGAACACCACACAAGGGTTAAAACTTCTGTTTATGATCTTTGTTATTATAGTTATTCAGAAATAAGAGCAACTAACCAATCCGAGCAGAGTGGGCTCTGGTTTCAGACAGAGGGTGAAAAGAGGTGTTGCAGCACATTAGTATGAGAAAAATAAAGAGCTTTTTGAACATTAAAGCACGTAAACATGTCACAGTAGAGGCACAAAACAAAAATATGAAGCTGAAAATGAGCATTATAGGGACTAAAACGACATCGTGTAGAAGGTGTTTTCACTTTGTTAAAACAGTAGGCTGTTTTTACTCTAATCAGACTCACTACCAGCTGAAAGATGTCGACTTGACCCAGTTAGGGTGTAATTCATTTAGAGGATTGTGGATATTTGGCTTCGGTAGCAACTATGCGTGCTGCATCACTTCAAGGGATTCACCCTCAAATCATTTCATCGCGTATGCACACATTTCTTTATTGCCAAGATAAAGACTGCTCTTTTTTTTTTACCAAGAAACAAACATTAAGGTTTTGACTCTAAAGAAGAAGGCCTTGTTTTTCTCTGTCTTTAGTGAGAGAAATTTGAGCTGATTCAAAACTTTTCTTATTCCAGCAAAGCAGCGTCTCAAGTTGCTCAAGATTTGAACTCAAAGAAATATACACCTCCATCACAAGGTCAGTGCTTGTGTGAAATAAAATGAAAACTATTAATAATTGTTTATTTTTGATGATTGGTGAATTAATATTAAATAACTCTCTTATGCTTTACATCAACAGCCAATCAGCAGGTGAAAAAGAAACCGGTAAGTGATTCTGCTGACATCAAACACGCAGAGAACATTCACATCTGAATATGAACAGCTTTTAATTTGAAAGAGTGTTATGAAACAATTAGGGGGGAAAAACATGTTGATCCTATGTTTGCAACAGCAGCATTTCACCTTCTGAATAACGGCTGAATAACAGTTCTCCAGTTTTTACTAACATTAACACGTTGGGGTTTTTTTTATTACAAGAAGTAATATGTTTATATATGCAAATGTAGAAATATGTGTTCTTGTGTCAATAAATTAAAGCTTTTCACACGGGGATTTATATATACTTGTATCACTTGGAAAATCTAAAAATACTGTCTTAACTGTGTTAAAATTAAATCAATTTTTGCCATCAATTAAAAGCTGTGTAAATGGGCTATGTACTGTACATGAACGAGATTTTATGGCTCAGAGTATAAGAGAAAAACATGTTTTTCAGGGGACAGCCTTTAAAGATATGTAACGCACAGTTACCTACATTTGGGAAAACTCTACAGATGAAAATGGTTAAACAAACCAACATGAAAAAGTAGAAAAGTCATATTTAAATCTGCAAATAGGTAATATCCGAAGCAAATTGTTGATGAATTTAAGAGTCTGTCTACACAAATTGACAAAGTTTAGTAAAAAAAACATACACTCTTTCATCAGTGTATGTAATGGACGCAAAATTGCCCAAGAATCTCAAAATTGACCAGTGTGTGTGTTTCTTTGTGCTCACAGGGGGAGCAGATTGCTATGTATGATGTAGTGCCTACAATGCGTCCTGTGGTTTTAATGGGGCCGTCACTGAAGGGCTTAGATGTGAGTCCGGCTCATACACTGTCATCTTAATAGGATACCTTTGAAATGTGAAGAGTACAAAATGTTGTTGAGCTGATACACCTTATTGTCCGTCATACAAATATTGACACTTTGTATTGTACTTCAGAAATGTTACTTGAAATCCTTGTGTCCTGTGTAATTCCAGGTTACAGATATGATGCAAAAAGCACTATTTGACTTTTTAAAACATCGATTTGAAGGCAGGTAAGTTATGATTTAATTCTTCAGTGCCACACCTTCCATGCTGATATAAAACAGGATGAAAATCACAACTGTGTAAAAATCCCTGTTTCTCTGTCTCCAGAATTACTATTACACGAGTCACCGCAGACATCTCTCTGGCTAAAAGGTCCATCCTCAACAACCCGGGAAAAAAGGCCTTAATGGACCGGTCAAACACCCGCTCTAATTTAGGTACACAACTTTCACTCTTTTCTTTATCTCATTTTAAGATTGCAGTTTCTGTTCACAATCATTTTTTAATATACCGTACATAGATGATCCTTTATTCAACGGGATGATGTAAGACGGCAAAGATGCTCATTTGCTTTCCTGCTGAGCATTAAGCCTGAATGTGCAGATTGAAACCATGCGCATGCACCTGTTTCAAATGTTATCGGGCCATTAAGTTAAAATAACTAACATTTTGGAGTGGGGAAAAGTCCTGTGTTTCTTTAACTCATCCATCCATCTATGCATCCTCCCTACCCTATATGGAATTAATCGATCTTTACATATTTCACCAAACACCCTCCTTTTGTCCCGTCATAATAACAATTCCCGCTAGGAGTCACTGTGTTCTTTTCTTCCTATCTGTGAGCAACCATTTGGATAGATGATTATGGAGCACCCATATCGGCAATGAAACCACTGATTACCGCCTTTATTTGGCTGATATCATTTGAAGCGGGTGTCTCATGTTTGTATGGCAAAAATAAATGTGCAGTCCTCAGCAGGATTGGTTAGCTTAGCAAAACAGACTGGAAACAAGGGATTGTAATAAGCCTGGCTCTTCTGATTCTGAGTCTGGCCCTTTAAATGTAACCGAGCTGCTCCTGGCCACGCCCCCTTCTTTACACATATTCTCTCCGGCACAGAGTTAGCTCTGAGTGTTAGCGATGCTTGCTAATGTAAACACAGATCTTATTACTTCCAAAACACGTCGCGCATTGTTTCTGATATAGCACATAGCTTGCTTTATTGAATGTTTACCGCTAGAACAGGGCCATTGTACAGTATGTATTATATATATAACAACTTTACTCTAAGTCCCGTAGACATCCTGCTGAATACACAGACACACAGCTGCAGAAGGGGATTCAGCTAGCCCACTGTATATGGGAAATAGGTTGGGACGTGGGCTGGACGTTGCCAAGAGTTCAATTTAAAGCCAGCCCACATTTCAGTAATGACGTCAAGTCCGCAGCAAATCTATATCAGCTCTGTTGTATCCCCGTTTGTAGAGATGTGGGTAAGCAGGAAAAGAGAGAGGTTTGTATTTTCATGTCAACACAAATATTTATGTATAAAAGACATCAGAAAGTGCAATAATAGGTGACCTTTAAGCATCAGATTAGGAAAACAAGTTGTCTCCTGAACTTTTTATGAGTATTTGCTGTTTTGGCCCCACTGACTCTGTGCAGTAGGTCAGTCTCCCTTGATTACAGAAAGGAGGATATGATTTACTTGGTTTTCTCTACTTTTCTCTTTCTCATCGCTCTCTCATCCCAGATGCTGCTGGTATGTATGACTGAAAGCACTAGTAGTCCACATCTGTTTGTTTGAATAGTCCAGCTTCCTTTCATTACCTCATCAGCACTTTGTTCACACACTGTTCACAGGGCACTTAAAGGACTCCTCATCTGTGTTGGCCTCAGCGGTAGACTTTGTGATTTGATTAGCTGCTAGAGACTTGTGGGTCTTGTTTGTCAACTACTATTTTTTTTACAATACATTTTCAATCTTAACATATAACTTGATAATTAATTGTTTTGGGTTTAACCTTCAACATTTAAGATTTTAGATTGTATCCTCATTACTGCATCTTTACAATATAAAATAGAGAACCAAAATTAAATCTCCACATACGTGCTTCGGCAGTAAACATTTATTTTATCATTCAAGATTACACACAATGGTATAATGTGGATGCATAAGAACAATTTAAATATATGGTTCAATGATAGGGAAATATCTTCTGTAGGCCTACAGTGCTTTCATGAGCTAATGCAAAGAGGAGCTTAATCAGGGCAATCGCTAGGGCATACTTGGATCTAACAGAAAAGGAAATAAATATTAAAGAATGGTAAAGAGACACAAAGTAAGAAAATAAGATTAAAATAATTAATTATAAGTGGGCAGTTTACACAGATAAACCATAAGCATAATATTGCAGAGACAAAAATCAAACCGTTAACAGTTTTCTTTAATTGTACAAATGAGCACATTTTAAAGTATGAGATGGCAGATTATTCAATTTCACTGAACTTCTGTAAACTAAGCCACTCTGTAATTGTAGTTTTTTGTTATATGTTGTAGAATAATTGGTAATTCAATTATTTTAGGTACACCGTTTATGATAAATGTTAACATTGAAATTAAATGTGTGCGATTGATGGATTTCCTGGACCTCAGGTGTCAAAGTCGTGCCTTTCCTCTCTGCTTTTGCAGCTCAGATCCAGGGGGAGGTGGAGCGTATCTTTGAGCTCGCCCGCAGCCTGCAGCTGGTGATTCTAGATGCAGACACAATCAACCACCCGCTCCAGGTGGCCAAGACTTCCCTAGCACCGATCCTTATCTATGTCAAGATCTCCTCACCAAAGGTAAGCTTCACCAGAGACCTGCCCTTTCTTTGAGACCAACTGTTCCTCATCCAACACAATTCAGTAAAATGTCAACCGTAAACGTTTTTATTTCCTTTTGGGCTTAATTTCTCTCATCCTCCTCTTCACTTACTGTAGGTGTTGACTAGACTGATCAAGACAAGAGGGAAGTCACAAACGAAGCATCTCAATGTTCAGATGGTGGCAGCAGACAAGCTCGCCCAGTGCCCGTCGGTGAGTGCCATCTAGTGGCCAGTGTGTTAAATGTCTTGGATTCTGTTAAGTAATACTAGTTTTTAGTATTGACTGGGTGAGTGACTGGAAAGATGGATTGTTATCAAGTAATTTAATGATGTTAGTTTTTTCAGTTGTTACACAGAACTATGCATTGCTGCATTAGGCTTTGTTTCTATAGTTGAAGTTGTTAAAGTGATAACATCTGATTAGAAATGAGATGAAAACAGAGATCAAACTGAAAATACAATTTTGGTGGTTACATGGCTACCTTTTAGAACAGTGACTACCAACTGTTCTGACATTTAAGGGGGTTTTACATCTTGGTGGGAATTTATGGGAATTTAGTACAGTATTTATAATGATGATGGGAAATTATTCAACAGCTAACAGAATGATAACATATGAAAAAACAATGTTTTGAATTAATCTTGAAGACTACATAGTCTAGAGATAAGCTTATTTCATTCATCTCATCATCAAAATGTCATTGCAAGACCTAATCACAGACGCATGTGAAAATCAGACTGTTATTTTTAAAGCCTTGCCCGATTTTTGCTATGATGGTATTGATGGTATTATAAATTATACATAAAAAGTGTTGCAGGGTAGTGTTTCCTACAGTTCCAATTTTTTCTTTCCTGTAGGAAATGTTTGATGTCATCTTAGATGAGAACCAGCTGACTGATGCCTGTGAGCATGTTGCTGATTATCTGGAGTCTTACTGGAGAGCCACTCATCCTCCAGAGATGGAGCCGGGCAACTCTCTGGTGTCCCAGCTGGTCGAGAACACACTGCCCACTAGTCCTTCAGCAGTACCCGCGGTACATGAAACACACACATACAAACATATATGAAACAACTACGGGAAGAAGTTATAACGTGTAAAATCCTTTGCAAAGATTTCATACTGTCCTCTCATCCCACTCATCCCATCTGTGCAGACAATCTGCTGAATGTGAGGAAACTGTTTGCATAGTAAATGATGAGCTCAGCAGGAATGTTACTTTATCTAGACTCCACAGTGTGCTGCATCTGCATTTGTTTTCATCTAACATTTTCATTTCATTTCTCCTCATACTTTTCCACTGGAAAGGTGAAGAAATGATATAGGTCTACCTCTGGTGAGTGAGATACCCTCAAATTCTGCTGTAGCTGAGTCTTCACCGTAGTTAAGGAGATGAGTAGTGTCTTTACAAGTTAGCTTAAAATTATGTGTATTTGTTCTATAAAGATGAACACACAGTTCTTCACTTTAGACTAGCGTTCCCTGTTCACCCTCTCCTGTGAAAAACTATCCACCACCTTATTAAATCCACGGATCTGACCAGAGCGCTAGACACAATTTGCTAATTCTGCACACTAAGCTGAAAGTAACATCTCCATTAAATGACATTGAACAATGTTCACCTATTTCTTTTGATATTTATGATGTAAAAGTAACACTTTTTATTTTCTCTCTTTAAAAACTCTCAGGCATTATAGTTTGTTTTCTGCTTACAGCTTGAATGAACATTACACAACGATATTTTTCCCAGACACCTTGAGATTATAATCAAATGCTGAAACAATGGTTACCATTTTAGTCACATTACAACAGCTTTGCTACTGGGTTAGTAGAACAGATGCAGAGAAGCCTGAGGAAGCAAATGTGTCTGTTCCCATGAGTAAGTACCAACGTGGAGCAAAGTCCCATAATCAGAATTATCATCCAAAAATATCCAAATTGGCTCTGCTGTGATACAGTCTATTATGTGATTGTGAAAGTAGGCGCTTTAGGGCCAGCTCCTTCCCAAACTGCAGATGTTTGTGTGTGGACATATTTTCTGTGTTTGAAATCGCATCCTTATTTATACTAAGTAAAAACGAATACTGGAAAATACAGGAAAATATTTAAGTGGAAGAGGCAATGTTGATTCAAATGTATGATAAACTATTATAATTCAACAGTAGCTCTTACTGGAAATGGCTATTACTGTAATTGTATACTCATACAGACACGTATGTACAGTAGTATGAAACACGTTAGTATGTGATTTTAAACACAGGCATTGTGTTTGGTGAGTATTTTTTTTTAGTTATAGCAAGATTACTTCATAAGTGCTATATGCACGTATGTGACATAGCATTGCATTTTCTTGTTGCAGGATGGGCACAAAAACAAGAAGTCAGCTGCCGCCAAGAGGAAAGGTTCCCGTGAGAACCATCTAGACCAGGAGCAACCCTCAGCCCCAGCACAGGAGCAGAAAGCTGAGGAAGGCCAAAGAGAGGAGGAAGAGCGGCTTCTGAGGAATGAACCAAAGAGACCCCAGCACACCCACCGCCATCACAACCACCACCACCGCCGGATAGAGCATCACAGCCACGGCCAGCACAACCAAACATCCAGTGGGACTGAAGTACGGTCAAGCAGGGAGTACAGCCAGAGGCCTCCCCGAAGGCACCTGCCCGTGGAGAGGGAGGAGGAAGCGGAGGATGTGGTGGAGGAGGACAAGGAGGCAACGCGCTATAATCACAGAGGCCATAACCACCACCATCACAACAGCAACCACCATCACCACTCACAACAACCACACCGTGGAAACAGCCAGCCACACGTCAGAGAAGATGAGCAGGAGCACAATGAACGCAACCGTCAGCACAGGCGTCACCAGGATATTTCTCACCGGACACAACACACAGATCACTATCCTGCACACAATCATCACAACTACCACGGCAAAGACAGAGACATGGACAGAGACAGAGATAGAGATAGAGACAGAGAAAGACACAAGGACAGGGAGAGAGACAGAGATAGGGATGGTGGTAGAGATAGAGACAGAGAGGCACGGCAATTTCACAGAGACTCCCATATACACTAGTGACTGTTGTTTCTCCTGTGGCTTGGTGCATGGTTTTATGCTGCTCAAGTTATAATGCACTAATGGCCTGGGCAGGGTGTTCTTCATATCGTTTGACATCTTAAATTGTTCTTATTTTTACCCTCTGCCACTCACTCACACATTTTGTCCTTCCTTATTTTTTCTATAGCAAAATTCATACTGTCACTCGGTTTTGCCTGTCTTAATTTCATCTTATTCATATGGCGCTATCTCTGTGTATTTAAGCACACACATTTGACAAGATAAATGCAAAGGTCCTGCAACATTTTCCAATGTTCACGCAAAAAGCCAAGAATAATCAAGGTTGCAGTAATTTTATTGTATCCATTATGTCAAGATCACAAGTAAATGTTCTTGTTATCTTGGGCTTGTTTTAAAGTGATAACACAATAAATACACTTGAGTTTCTATTAGTTACACCAAACAAAAATTAATACAATCTAATATACAAGTCCTGCAATAAATCCAACTTTGATGAGGTTATATAGTTCAGTGTGTATTAAACAGGGATAGGTTAGCCTAACCCTTTCTTAACTCGACAAAAAATATACCTGTTAAGATTTTAAACAGGTATATTTACCTTTAAAAATAAACTTTTCACAAGTTTACCTAGCCAAAATGACATTATCTGGTGTTCACCTCTCAAAAGTAGATATGAGAAGATGTTACCTTGGCATCTGACAAATTGTGATGTCAATATTTGACACTAAATTGTTAATGGATAGATCAATAGATAGAACAATAGATAGATCAAAAGTGAGCGGCAGATTCGTCCTATCTGAAAAAAAGCTATTGGGAGAAAACATCTCTTTAAGTACAGTAACTTGTGATTTGAGACGAACAGGAAGAAATTATGGAAATTAATCAATAAGTGTTCTCGGCTTCTGTAAACTGAACACGTTTATAACTGTTGTTTCTATGAACTAATTCAAAGAGAAGCTTTGTTGTAGCCGAGGGTTCGAAAACTCTAGGAAACAACAGACTTTTGGTGTCACATCTCATTCTGTCTCCATGTGTTACAATCTGTGTATCTTCCAAAAACAACAATTCATTGTACACATTGGTAAAGAAACTCAAACTATTTTGTTACATGATATTAAAGGGAAGTCTTACTTTGCTTCCTACTTTTCTAAATGTTGTTCAAGCTTATTTATTGACTTGTATTTGCGCTGTGTGGAAGCATGACATATCTTTAGGTGACACTGATCTGCTATATGCTGGATACTCTATGCATCTTCTTGTGATAAAATATATTGCTTGAATACAACCTCTATGCATTTGTAAATACTTCATAATTGCCTTGTTAGGTAAATATAAGGAGAACCAGAGAGCCTGTTGCACTGTTTGATAGAACTTGACCTACTGTGAATGATTGCTCTAGAGTCTAGACTGAAGTGACTCTGATCCTTTAACCTTTTTTGTTTTCATTATGTTTGTTTTGTACAGCATTCAGATGTTAATTTTGACAAATATGCATTCCATTGTTGAAAACCATTAAAATATAAACCAAAAAATGTGGTTATTGACATGTTATTGTAGGATGTCAGCACTTGCCAAATTGGTAAAATTGTTGCTAATTGAAATTACTTTATATAAACTACTACGGATTAGTTTGTGAATTTTCCTCTGAGGATTAACAAAGCCCTAATCTGTAAATAATACATAATGGTTTGTTTTTTGATAATTTATTTGTATTATTAATCTGAAAGGGAGTAGAAGTTAAGTACACACACCAATAGTAGAAAGTACAAAAGTATAATGTAGTCAGTTGTCTGTAAATACCTATTTTTTAGAATTCTGAAATTACAATCAAATCAAATCAAATCAGGTTTTATTTATATAGCACATTTAAAAGCGATTTTTGGTCGAGCCAAAGTGCTGTACATGTAATAAAAACACATTACTACAATTACAATAAACGACAATAAATTACAACAGATATATCTTAAAAACAAAATAAAAATAAAACACACGGAAAAGTCAGGAGTCGTGCTCCGCTCTAACTAGAAAGCCAGAGAGAAGAAGTGTGTTTTTAGTTTAGATTTAAAAACCCCTAGGGTCTGGGCCGACCTCACATGGAGGGGCAGAGTGTTCCAGAGCCTAGGGCCAGCTGCTGCGAAGGCTCGGTGCCCTCGGGTTTTTAGCCTGGTCTTGGGCACTACCAGCAGCAGCTGGTCAGCAGATCTTAAAGCTCTGGCTGGGGTGTAGCGCTGGAGCAGTTCAGCTATATAGGCCGGAGCCAGCCCATTTAGTGCTTTAAAAACAAATAAAAGGATTTTAAAATCAATTCTGAACCGAACTGGAAGCCAGTGTAGTGAGGCCAGAATAGGGGTGATGTGGTCACGCTTTTTGTGGCCAGTCAGCAAACGTGCAGCAGCGTTTCTGAAATTACAATGTGTTATTATTTCTTTTAATTCAGAAAAATAGATTTTGCATTAGGATTAGGCCTATGCACCTTTCACCAATGAGTGTAAACCATACAGTGTACATTCTGTGTATGTAGGTATTAGATACCCTGCTGTCTGTGTCCAACGTACACAAGAAATACAATATTTTCCAAAAGGTCAATTTGCTGAATATAAAGTCAAGGAAATTCATCTCAATTTTGATTTCGTTCTCATGGCAACGTCTTCCCAATTTCTCAATGTTTTCTTAAAAGTGTGAAACAGCGCTACTAGGATTAATGGATGGTTAATGTAATCTAGTACATGTGGAGAGACGAGAGAGATGGTACAGTAGGCCTACTGCATTTTCAGCAAAGTCTACCGAAGGAATCACAGGTGAGTTGAGGTTGTCATCCTTTGATTAACAGCACACAATTAGAAATGTACATGTAAATGCAATAAACTGGCGGAAATGATCTCTAGGAAGTAGGAAGTCAGTCATACTTTGGCCTCGCACATTATAAAGTTAACAACTAATTTGTCGCTAAACGAAATACCCTGGAGTTAACGTTACATCTGGCGATAGCTAGCTTGTGTTCCAGTGTTGCTAGGGTTCAGCTAGCAACACTGCTAGCTAACTCAGTCGTTACTTTACGTGTTTTGCCAGCTAGCAGCGATGGAGAAAGAAGATGGAGAAAGAAGATGGAGATTTCTGTCCGCAACTGATATTACCACCACAGCTACAAAATATATGACGGTCAGACTTCATCTACATGACAGAAAGGACACTATTTCTTCAAACAACGTGAGTTATACTACTTCTGTCTGCCTGTCACTGTTATCTGAATGCTTCTGCTTGCTTGTTTTTGTCACGTCTCCCAGTGGTTACATGTGGTTACAGTGGTCGGTTACATCTGTATTCAAATCCCTACCTGTACTGTATTTTTGTTAATGTTATCTGGTTTACAGAGAGGTGGTAAGTAACTAAGTACATTTACACAAGTACTCTACTATATTTTGAGGTACTTTACTTGAGTATTTCCATGTAATGCTACTTTATACTTCTACTCCTCTACATTTAAAAGGGAAACAATAATTTACTACATTTATTAAACAGCTTTAGCTACTTTAACAAAATGCATTTCTAAAAATGTAACTAGTGGACAAACTCATTAAGTCACAAAAGAGTGACATTATTTAAATAGTTTACAAAAACTCGATCAGAACTTTGTGTACAACAGTAAGATGCTACTTGATGCAACAATATTATCTAGAAATGTCACATGTATAAATATAATTATATACACACATAAAGGCAATTTTTCTGCATTAGGATTACTTTTAGTTTCTTAATTAGTATTTTGAAAATAATGTATCGGTACTTTTACTCAAGTATCTGAATACTTCTTTCACCTCTGGGTTTACATTATGTGCTGTGCAGCCTAATATGCTTTAACTGCTGTCTATAGAGACACAGTCACACGGACATGTACCTAAAGGGATAATTTGGGAATATCTCAAATGTTGGCTGTATTGGTTGGTTCAGCCACCTGTTGACTGTGAATGAACATGTTCAGTAGGTTTGTTAGTTGCTTGTGAGGATATTTGCCTCTATTGCCTTTTAGTTTAACTGTGTTTTGAGTATCTTTAACCAGTGACCATAGTACAGTGGCGACTCGTCATTAGGGGCAGGTACAGCCCCACCTAGTGTCAGCAGAAAGTAATTAAAATAATAATTCCAAAAATATGCAAAAACTATATATCTTAAAATATATTTTAAGATCATGTTTAGTCATCGGATTCGTCTGTACATTGCTGTTTTAGTCTGCGTTCTTCTAATTAGTGTCTACAGTGTGCTTATTGAGCCGTGTTGAGCAATGTGGGGCAAGCCCCGATCTAGACCCTCTCTCTCACTGTCAAAGTGAATGGGTACTGTAAAAACTACACTGCGCATGCTCAGATAATTTTTCTATTCAATGTGTGCGGCAAAAAAATAATCACCAGTGGGGCAAAGTGCTGGCAACCCCACCAAAACGTCATCTCCTAATTCAGAGCTGATTGGCTGTAAGTAAGTGTGCCGCGAAAAGTGTAGTTGTGAAGAGGAGACGAGAGAGAGCAGCGTATAGCGATTCAAATCAGTAAAACGGAAAGAAAATGAATGAAGTAGACCATCTACTGCAGCTTTGGTAAGTTCATTTTATGTCATATCTTTTGTTGATCTTCTGTGTTTTGCCTATAGGCTATTGCTCTGCTGGATCGATTGATATTGTGACCTCGGTGATCAGTGTCTGTGTTTTACTTATATGTACAGTCTATGGTGTTTTAATGCTGAAGCATTACGGTTGTTGTTATTGTTAAGTATTGCTTTGTGATGGTGCCCTTTACTCCATGTATCAAAGTGCATTACAATATGACATCCCCACGCTGTGTCCGTAAATGTATGCGCTCACAGTGTTGCTCAGTGCTCTTCATTCAAGGCTTCCGACAGTATGTCATTTGACACTCTTCCCCCCCCCCCCTCTCTCTCTCTATCGGAACATGGATAGCCTCCAGCTATTTGTTTACGTGTTTAAAAAAGCACCAGAAGCTTGTATATAAACATCTAAGTTGTTTGTGCCCCACCACTTTTGTACATATAAAAACACCACTGATAGTACATAAGGCTTGAGGTCTCCCTTTGATATTTCAAGTGTATGGGAAAGACTGTGTAAGCCATGTATTTGATACAAGCATTGATGCTTTTTGATATTAACTTGTGCTTCTGTGAATATATTTAGTCACTGAAGTATTTAAACGGATACTTTATCTACAGAATTACCATATGAATAATTTGTAATAAGTCTCCATGTTGTACCTTGAATTCTTGAAGAAAACTTATTATTATTGATTCAATTTTAATGTGTAATGAAGAATAAAAAAACGTAAGAAATGTTAAGGCATTTAGGGACATTCGGACTGCGCTTAACACCCGCAAATATAATAATTCAAAACATCTGTTTCCAACCTTAAATTCTTGACTGCATATGTTTAACACAAGCAACACTGAATAACTTTGAAACTGCTTGTAGGATTTAAAAGCCTGTTTGCAGTATATTTATTTTTTGTCTCAAAGGAAATATTATAAAATCAACAGATTAACAATGTTAGCATTTTTATGTCTTGCAGTATATGTGAAACCATGAAGAAACAGTCAGTCACCACAACCTGAATATAAAGGATATACAAGCACAATACTCTCTCTGAGAGTCTCTAAAATTAATGCTAATTAAAAACATTCATTGTTTAAGCCAAATGAAGCCAAGCACTTAAATAAACCTAATTTCACATTTCTCCTTTGAATTTGGAGAAAAAGTTCATTCGATGTAGATGCCAATGGGTTGTTATTTACATCTTTGTATACAACTAATTTATTTGATCTTCCTGAGTCCCATGGATTTTTAGAAAATGAAAGTAGTACATTACAATATACTAAATATATCAATTAATCAACACATTTTACATACACCCATTCAATTAAGATGCCCATCTACATTGTATTAATTGGTTGCTTTTTATAAAATCAAACACAATTTTGAATTATAACAAACAGAGATTTATACATCAAATAAAACATTCTAATTGTTTTTCATCATTAAAGCTAGTTATTGCCAACTGCATTGAATTGTCAAAAGCGAAAATGAACTGCTGCCTTTTTCATCACAGAGTTATAACAAGCCCTGGGTTCTCCTATTCTGCAATTTCAACCACATCCGGCTTGGACCGCTCATTGTTGAAGAAGAGAGGGTTGTCGAAGGTTGATAACTTTGTGGGTATAAGCAAGCTGCGGCCAGACTTCTTGAATAGAAACAAGGCGATTAATGTTCCGATGACAATTGCAATAATGACCAGGGAAACTATCAAAAAAACGTGGCCACGGGTTTGAGGATCCATCCTAGGAGTTACTGTACAGAATCAACAAGTAGATGATGAGCTACAAGAACAAATGTAACATTTTTGACTTAATATAAACATGTATAGATTTATCTTACCAGTTGTCTGTGTCACTTGTTGATTTACTACTGTAGAAAGATAACAAACATGATAAAAACTTTAAAAAAATGCTTCTACATTTGATTTAACATCTGAATCAATTTATGAATAGATTTTTCTATTTCATTTCTTGCTTCTTTCAACACAATGGCCAATGAAAAACACAATTATGTTATATATTATACATACATAGTCCTATTTTCTACGATGATCTCACCTTTGGCAGTTTTGCAAATATATCCTCTTTCATACCACTGGTTCTCTGTTGTCCATCTACCATCCCCAAATCTAATCGCTCCATAAGTATGGTCGCCTGGTTGATCAATACGCCAGTTACTGTAGTCCATAACGCTTCTGTCCAACCACTGCCACATGCCTGGGGACAAATAGAAATGTTGTGTTTTTTTTCTTTACTTCAAGATTGTTTTTGGACCAGATTAAATATGTATTTAATTGAACACTCAATATCTTTCCTTTCAATACGAACTGCAACAAAATAATATGTTCAATCTCCTTTTAACTCTTTTTTTGGCTGAGAGAAATACATAAATGTGTGTTCACTACCAGTTTAATCAGAGCATTTGCTGAAATCATCAGAAAATAAGCTTGAAGTGGTTTTGGGGCCAGAAAATCAAAACAAGCTGAAAGATGATTGTCTGATGTAGACCTGATGATAGTCCTTGCAGTGTTTGCACTTTATCAATACCTTTCACATTATACTTACAAATGTAATGCAAACATTTGAACATAGTTTATATGCCTGTTTTTAGTTCTGTATTCAACAGGAATAAATATATTATTAATAGCAATCGTCTAACCTTTTTTGTTTCAGAGTTTATGTATCACAAGTACAATGTTCCTTCTTTATGTCCTAGTGTAGCTTAATTTATATTTCTATGAAAGATCAGACAATGTGACTGTACCTCTGTGGGTTTTATACAAGCCGATCCAGAAAGAGGATTGGTCTTCAACGCTTATAATATTGCTATGAATGAATTCTTGCTCAGAAGGATCTGTGATGCTGGCAAGAGTTCCACCTTAATTCACAAAGAAACACACAAGCAAACGAAGAAAACTTTAGTTGATGCTAAATACAGCTAATTGATAAGGAATATGTGTAAGACCATCCATAGAAGGTACTTACCATGTCTTACACAGCCAGCTGATGCATCAGGCCATGTATTCCTTCCTGTCATAAAGAGGTAACAGAAACCCCTAAATTGTAGCCAGCTGTTTCTCTGGCGCCTGAACATCTGCATTTCTGGGTCGTCAGGGCAAAATCCTGGAAAATCGCTTGACTCTGTTGGTGGCACATCTGTGAATGAGATGGACATTAAGGACATTTGGATCCACTAATTACTGTAAAGTACATTCTTTCAAATCCAGTGCACTGAAGTACTGTAATCACCAATTTGATAATAAGGTAAATGGGGCAGATTTATGAGCTGCTTCAATATGCTACAGCAGCGCAAAGTGTGTGTTCTCTTTACACAGCGATGTTGTGTGTAAGGAGCACTCTGCGTCCAGGCTTCCACAAGTCACCTTTTTAGTACTGTGACAACACCATATGATGATGACATTAACATTAAAATTGACTTGTGTATTAAATTATTAAAATGTATATTAGCTCTACCTGTAGACTTCATGCAAATGCTGTTTAAGTTCTGATTGCAGCCGGTAGTGATCCATTTTCCATTTACATCCATGATCACACAAGGTTGGAATGATCTTGGTTCCCCTGTACCCCATTTGGTAAAGGTGATGCGCCAGCCATCAATAAATCTGAAATATCCGGCAGTCTGAAAGCAAAGATTGATCAAACTGCATTCAGCTTTAGGAATTCCAAACTATAGGCCTGTTAAGTCATCTTTTAATGCAAATCTGTAATCTTTAATAATTATTACAATAAGGATTCACTTTTTTTTCCATTTTTCTTTACACTATTGAAAAATATGTAAAATATTTTAAATATATAACTTTTGTGGATGTTATTATTCTGAATACATAACATTACCTGATTTTTGTTCAATCCAATCCACAGAGAAGCATTGAGTTTTAAAGCCATCAGCTCAACATACGACTGTGACCATTCGTTACGCAGGCTGGCCAATTTTGCACCATCACGTTCACAATGCTGTTTGGCTGCATCCCAGCTCATTGTTTGGGTAACAACCTTAATGGAGTCATTTAATATTTTGACATAGTCGGTAGGAATAGGTTCAGGTGAGTCTGGGAGAGAAGGATCTGTTGTGGGTGAGAAATTATACACATTTAGTTGTTCCCATTCATCGTTAAAGGCAGGGCTTTTGTTGTGGACATAGATGCTCGAAACTGATTATTATTTTCCATTTTCCTAAGAAGATTAAAATCCCTTATTTGTACCATTATAACAGTGTCCAATTTGAATAAACTTGTGATTGAAATACAGTACAAAGTTCAATTGTATTACCGAAAATATAATCTTGATGATTGCCGAATATTCATCATGATACATACATCGTTAGATGCTTTGGTACAATTAGTGCTGTTGTAGGTAAAAAAGGTTGACCCCATCCACTGATGGTTTTATTGTGAGGCAAACAATTGCAAATTAGATACTGAATTTGACCTCATTAACTTTTGTATTTTCATCATTGCTGTAAATGAATGGTTCTAAAATATACCAGCAGTCTCTTAGTCATGTACACGCCGTATACGTGCACCTGCTGTTCTAGTGCAAGGTCCGATAATTCGAGTCCACACTGTTCAAGCATGGCGTAGGGAAATACAGAGTATGTTGTAAAAGTAAAAGTTTGGCTTTGATAATGATATAGAAACATTGCTATATTGACACATCAGGATAATCAAAGTTGCATGTCAACCCCTGTATGTAACAAATACACATAGACAATATTGTGAAAGTCCTTATCTTTTTAAATCAATCTCGGTGTATATTACACAAAAAACACTCAAGAGAAAGGGCCAAGGAAAGGCTCACCAACATTTCGAAGACAGACATATCCATTGGTGTCATTGCAGGACTTTTTAATCCATGTTCCAATACCAACGTCACGATTGGTAGACAAAGCACCACAATTTCCCCGCTGAAAACAGTGATGGTATAAAAGGGTTAAATGTACATTTTTTATTTTTTTTATTTAGATTAATTAATTGATATACAAAAATATATATTCCAAGATAAATGACATTTTAAATTGTGTCAAGAAAATATTACCTCTCTATGCCCTCGATGTTGAGACCTTTCAAGATACTTCAATGTAAAATCAAGAATTTAGAAATGGGTGTGAATAAATAAACATATTAGGAACAAAACAGATGCATTTAATTTATAAAAATTGAAATTGTGATTTTATGTACAGGTGAAATAACTCTCTTCTTATACAAGTGTGATGTATTTTGACAAGTTCAGAAAAAAATGTAAAAGTATCAACAATGATTTACCTCAGAGATCGAAATGTGATGCCTCTGAAATGGTAGAAATATTTTCCAAATTAAAAACCCAAAAATGTCACCTCTGTTATTGAAGCGCTATGTTGACAATATTTTTCTTTATTTAAGTTTAATTATTTTAATAACCGTGTAAGAGCTATGAAACCTGCTCCTTGAAGAAAAGAGGTGTTGCTGCTGTAAAAAGAAGAAAAAACGTTTTTAGTAGTGACGCAGATGCCTCTTTAACCTAAAATTTGAATCCGAAACGTATTATGTCCACTTACTTCGATTTTCCAGTTGCTGTATTTCATTGGTCGCCCATCAGTCCAGAGAAATGAAGAGAGACCTACCATATGCAAACCGATCCACAGGTCTGTGGTAGGTGCCTCAGCCAATTGAGTAGTCAAAAAGACTGAAAATGTAAAACATATTCATCATATCAATAATGATTTTTAATTGTTCAGATTTGCCTGAATATTCACAACATACATTATATAGTGTATGCTCTATATATAGCTCAAATAGTCAAAATAGTTGGTTGGTAAATCAGGTGGCTCAAGCCGGTTTAGTCCAGTGTCCTGTTAGAGCTGAGATCTTTTACATAACTCACTTTATATACATTGTATGCCTGCAGAATCCAGACAAATATTTCAGTTTAAAGGAAATATTTATGAACCCAGCCAAATGTCTCAATTTCTCAATCCTAATGTCTGTTTTATTTGTTGTCTTTATTTGGACACCAATGGAATATAATATTATAAAAAACCATAAAACACACCTTGTGCTTTTCTTGAGAGAATTGAAGCCAACTGTCCTCCTATTGCTCTGCATTGTGTCTCTGCTCCATTGAACGTCTCTTTCTGTGTATTAATGATCCTGTAACACTAGGTGAACAATTAAAAACAGCTTTGAGTGTTACTTTTTTTATACACAAGAGTTAAATACTTTGTTAGATTGAAGGCCCATTTCATGCTAAAAATGGGTTGTATCCCCACCCTGCCAAAACAATAACAATAATAAAAAGTGCCTTCTGACCTTTAAGTCAAAATGTTTCCAGTTTTGTGTACAGCCGCCTTTTGGAAGAACTGTTGGTGCTACAGTGGCGTTGGCTGGTGGTGAGCCTCTTCGTTTGCAAATTGACTTGTGCTCATACCCACAATTAAAATCATGCCAGAACCCTGTAAGCCAATCAAAATAAATCAAATAACAGTTTAGCAAAAATAAATTTAATTTTTACTTTACATTTCAAATGTTTTGATTAATTCAAATGTATTGATGAATTCTTTATAACATGCATATATATATATAAGAATGCCAGTAAAGAAAATCAATTTTAAGTTACTCACCCAGATGATGACTCATGACAGCACAGTTCTCAAAATTATTTTGAGAGTTAGGTTGATTTATATCCCACCTTTGAAACACCACTGGAGAACCATCCCTCCACCTTTTTGAAATGTAAAAGACGCATCCATTATTTTCATTATCATATTTAAATGTTATAATTGTTATATTGCAAAATAGTATAACAAAATTAGCTATGCCCTTAAATCCAGGCATACAAAAACATAGATTTTGTACAAAGAAGTAATTTGACTGCTTGATAATTGATGCTGCACTAGTCACATAACTACTGCCCAACCCAGCAGTCCCCCTCAGCTCTCCAAAGCCCTTTAGACTCCTTTTGATCAATATTTTCTGGCCTCAGCTCTTATCATCTGCCTTACCAGCCATGGCAGAAAGCTGTTTTTTGGATGAACCGACGATATACCACCTGCCCGCCACCAAACGGCAGACACTTAAAGTTAGAAGCTGGTGAACAAAATGGAACATCTATCATGCTCAACAAACTGATGTTTCCATCCCAGAGTTGGTGAAGACCAAAACAAATCTAAAAGTTAATTCATATTTAGTTTACGAACCTAACATTCAAGTAGTTACATCATCCACATGTCGCAGTTTTTATACTTTTCTTCCTTTTTTGTTTAATCTTATATTCATTATTTGAGTAATGCTTACCCATATGTTCCATCAAGATCTACGTACAGGCCTATCCAGTACTGAGTCTGACCACGTTTTCTGGACACCTACACACAGACAAAGGGCAGCAGTACTTACTTTGCAGTATGTTGTTAGCTTAAATGCCATGGCCAATGGGTAAAGACATTAATGTAGAAAACATAACACCAGCAGTACTTACTTTGCAGTATGTTGTGAGCTTAAATGCCATGGCCAATGAATAAAGTCATTAATTTAGTAAAAATGTCACTCACCTGTTTCCATAAAAAGACACTTTCAGCTTCATTGTTGATCGTTACCAAGTCACTATGCCTTTTTTGGCAGAAGTGACGAGCTTCTTCCATAGCCATCGTATTCTCGTTAATATAATACTGATTCCCATTCCATTCTAGCCACCCGTCTGAGGTCTTATTGTAGTCTGAAAACATGTCACAAATATATTTGTATTACAGATAATGTGTACTGTTTGTCCAGATTTCAGTAGCTTTATGGCCATTCAAGTGGCTTGGCTATATAAGTTGTAGAGACATTCATGATTCTCAGAGGGTTAATCCTTCACACTTTGATAGTCCATTGTGAGTTTCCCAGCCCCACCAGCATGTGAAAAGTTTTCTCTTGTCCAGCGAAATATATCTAAATCATTACCCTTGATTTTTGTATCTACTGTAGCATAACCTCTGTCAAAAATAATTTCCCAAGTTGGGATAAATAAAGTATATATCTATCTATCTATCAGTTACAATTGTAATTTGTCCAATCCTTATGAAAAAAGCTACAAAACTAACATTTCCATCAGGCTCATCTGTGTTCAGTAAGCATGCTAACTTTCCATACTAAGAAAGTAAACATGGTAAACTTAATACTACTTTTAAATGAGGATCAACCCACAGTGACGTACCAGAAGCAATTTAAAGCATACAATACACAGTTAAGTTTGGTATTTTCTATATGGTTATGAAGTGGCCCACTTACCAGGAGTGACAGGGCCTGGGGTTGGATTTGGAGTTACTCCTGTAAGAAGATAGACAGAAGAACATTTTACTCAGAACTCTAAACAGAGCACTGGAGTGATATTAGGCCGCTTTAGGTTGAGTTTACCAAAATACCCTAGAGAAATACGGTTAACAGTAACAAAAGAGTGACAAGCTCTTCTTTGAAAAAATTGTAAACAAACTAAATGGTTTCAGTTCCTCATCTTACCTGCACGGATCTGGCATAGCCAATCATGGTACATCTCACAGTGCACATCGTTCCAATTCCAAATATGATACGTTTTTATTTCAGTGCAAGATTCTGCGTTGTTTCTGTTGTTTGGCTCTCCATCCTCCCAGTGTTGAAATTGCAGCTGTGAAAACAAGAGAAAAATACTTAATTATTTTTTTTCTTTTTGTATTTCATTAGTTATTCTTAACTAAATGTTACAGCGATTAAACTAGAATACTGGTTACTCACGGGAGATCCATCGCTCCACACATAACCGGTTGTTGGGTCAGGGGCACTAAGTCCAATCCAGACTCTTCGTTGTCCACGTCTGAACAATATTTAAATTATGATTATATTATCATAACGTTTAAAAAAACATTAAAAGAACAACATTTTGCCTAATTTCGAAGTAATCTGTAGATGGATGCCCCAGTGCTCTGTTGACTGACTAGGTGGCCCTTATCTTTTGCATTAACCAGTATATTTGTATTGTTGTACTTTGACAGTTCATACTGTACCCTGTTTGTATTGATTTTAGCTCCTCAGAACTGTGGATACTGAGCAGGTCCCCCCCGAGGGCCATGCAGTAATCCCTGGCCTCATACCAGGTCTTCATGTCAGAGCTTTCCTGTACAAACAGCTACAACAACACAAGGAAAAACATTTTCAACATGGTTTGGCAGTGTTACTGTACTTCACTACAAGAAAGCAGTTTTTTGGACTTTTGTATGTTGTAGTTGAGTAGTTACAACTCTTTGTTTATCAGTTATTGAAAAGACTTAAACATTTCTAAGTATCTGAACTAGGGAATGGAATTAGCACCTGCTATTCAGGTCACCTGCTGCAATGCCAGTTTTCTTTATAATAACAAATATTATGGTAAAATTGTATTCTAAATCTAAGAAAACAATTAGGGATTAGGGTTATATTTAATATTTATACTGCTGACTGAAGATAATTTTAGATTTTGAAAGTTGCATTTCAGCAAAGTATTCTGCTAGTAAGAATTTCATTTATTAATTCTAGAGTCCATATTATTCTGTGTTATGTGTTACCAGACTCATCAAGCTAACACGGAGGAGAAATATCAATAATATAATTCAAATTGCAAGTGCAGGAATTACATTTTCCTTAATTAGTTTTGACCAAACAAAAAATGCATCCCATGTCCAACATTCATTATCGTAGATGCAATATAAAGAGTGGAAGTAAGAGGGCGCAGCGCCCCTGTTACCCGCTTTAGACAAAACCCTGAGTATTGTAATAAGTTATCCTCTAATCTTTTTATTATTATCTTTTTTTAATACATGTGGCTCTACCTTAAAGCAATCGTTTCTTGATCCCACTCGAGTCCAGCCTACTGCACATTGTGTAGGGGTAACACTAGGTGGTGCAGGGGTTAAAACGGCCCCCTCTGCCAGATGTTTACAGATGTATTTCTCCTTATTGGTGCAGGGCAGCACATCCCAGAGGCCAGCAAAAACCCCTGTCATCATGGCAACACACCCCTGTCGGTGACCTTAAATTGTTGAGGGAGAAATTATGAATTGTCAGTTTTCAGGCCCTTTTCTGAGTCATCTTATATATTTTTAAATGTCCCCATACCTGGCATTTCAGCATTCCAGTGAGTAAACCTCACTGAGTTGGCGTTGGTCCACACAAATTGATCGATGTCATTCTGGTTTGAGAGGCCCAGCCAGAAGTATTTCTCTGGTCTCAACCCCACCAAGCTGACAAGGAAGGCATTATCCACTCTGGAAATAGTTAAACAGTTAGGGTCGCAGGATTTCTGGTGTCAGTAAATGTTTTACAGAGACAAACATTTTTAGGAATTCAATATTGTTTACATTTCTTTGAATCTTCTCATAAGTTTGAAATTCTGAAATGTAGTGATGATCAGAATATTTCTAATAATATACGTGTTCTTACGCATTTGAAACATCAGCTAAGTAGGAATTTGATGTCCTGCAGTCATCTTTAGCTTCATCCAAGGTTTTGGTCTGGATCCCTATAAAGTAGCAGTAAGAGCCATGCTTTCTCCACCCCTGTATTGATGCAAAATAATAATTTGAAAAAAGACAATTGTAAGATTTCCATCACCCCACCAACTTTCACCGTGGCATTTTTCTAACTTGCTTATTTAATATCAGAAAAAGAAAAGATGCTATCATGACTAAAGTCGCAAAAAATATCCTCTAAGATCAAGATAAACTCTGCCCTAATGCAAATATCATAAAGTTGAATATTTGATTTAATGGGCATTCATTGATTTTTTTAAAGATTTTCTTTTTTACTATTGTATAACCCTATTACACGCTGAAAAAACCTTAAATATTATTTTTCTAACAAAGTAAGGTTGCACATTAGTATTGATTTGAAACTGTGTGTCAGTCCAACTGTATATAAGTGTAATATTATTTTGAGTTTTGCTGTTTATTTTGGTCTTGTTGAGGAAAATATCTGTCACATAGTAGTGATGGACCTTTAAAGCAAAAAATTGCTGTTCGTTATTTACTATGAATTGTCAACCGTTCTACGATGACAACCCTTTCCTACACATGTAGAGTTCTACCAAGCTTAGCTATCATATGTGCACATATATATGCTGCTCTACCTGCAGTGTTTCAATCTGCTGCGCTGGATATAACCAAAATACTTACCTAAAACAAAGGATAAAAAACTGTGATACACTTTTTCTTAATCAAGTAAAAAGCAGATAAACTTAACGCACCCTTTTACAGCCATTATCCTGCTCCACTTCATTTCCAGAGGGAATTGAGGCACTCATCTTCATACAAATGGAGCCATGTTTCTCCTCACACACACGGTCAGCCCAGTTCCCATTCTGTAACAAAGTACCAATATATATTTATTTATGTAGAGACTAACTAAAGGGTACTACGACCAATGCAGTAATACATCTTAAAACTGTACGCATACAGTATATCATACTTAGGATACAGACATCATGTACTGTATTTATTCATTTTAACACAAACTGTAATGTGTTTTTTTTAAGTGTAGTAATATTGCTGTCTGATAAATCAGGTTAAAGAGCTATTGTTAATGCCAAAGACAGTATATAAAGGTAACATGTGCACATAGTGCTCCTTACCTCTCCTCTGAGGAGAATACAGTCCTTTATGTCAGTGGAGACAGCAGGTGTACCAAATTCCCAGCTAGTGAAACTGACAGTGGAGTGGTCAATCCAGTCAAACTGTCCCTCTGTCTTCCTGTCATTCAGTCCAATCCAAAGCTCATCAGTGGATGCTGCAGATACAGACAAAAAAGTATTACCAAAAAAAACATGAAAGTAGGCTGAAGGAGTTAGATATGAGTTAGATATTACATGTAAGTAGTAGTGAATGAATGTGTATTAAGAAGAGAAAATAAAGTAAAAACACTTTGAAAAGGAGCAGAATATTTTATCTGCAAACTTTTGAACTAAAACCATACATCACCAATAATGTATAAAATATGTGGAACATGTTGAAGTCAGTATGAAGTCTCCATCAGACAGAAAATAATAGGCTGAGACAGTCTGTTAAACTCCAGTCTGTGGGTGTTTCTCAATGTCGAGGACGCTTGCTTGGTAGCAATCCTTCCTGTGATTCAGAAAATGAAGAGTGGAACAGGCGAGCAAGTGTGCAGGTGTGCGTCATATGAGAGCCCCCGCCTTACATTTTACACCACAGATTTGGGGAAATTGGTCAGTGCGCAAAGCATTGTGGGGATTTTAAGACTGCGGAGTCTACACATGTGCAGCCTCGAAATTTCTCGCTACGAAGTACGCCGGGCTCGGTAGAATTCCAAGTATGCTGGACATTGGAACAGTCCTTCGGCGACACTCGATGACGTAGTATGCTTGAAATAGTGGTTCTGGAGCAGCCTTCCTCGACATTAAGAAACACCCTGTGTGTTTGTGTTTTGAGGTGACAACGTTATCAAACACCTGTGTGTGAGCCCAGAGATCAAAGGTTACCATGGTGATGTGCAGTGATCAGTGAAAGGAGAGCCATTGATCCACTTTCCATTGATGTGAATGAGAGATAAACCTCTTACATTTCCAACTATAGTTGAAAAACGGTAGCTGCTATCGGTAAAATGTCTACTTTGTGAGCATGTCAGGACCCTGAGGAGCGTCTCAAGTGTGCTTTTTGTGTACTTTCGGGTCAATAATGTGGCATTTTTGGCAGATTACCTAAAGCTGTGCTGCTGGTGCTGTGATGAAAGATGAGGCTGCATTTACAATGGGCCTTAATGGAGACATGTTGAAAGTTTTCCTACAATTCAAGCGTAAAATGATGTCCAAGGAGTGTAGGGTTTGGGAATTATGGCAGGTTTTAAAAAAAAACATTTAAGGCGAATTTCAAGCTCTCCTTAACCCTTAACGAGCTGCACAATACACACTATTGTTAAAATCTGAAGAAGGCCTCTTTACGAAGCTCCAAACTAAGTTAAATAATATTAAAAATCTGAAGAATAAGTTTTACAGCTGAATGTCTTGTGACCGTTTTAAAGTTGGAATGAAGTCTCTAGCTGAAAGTATGTGGAAGGAGTAGCATTTGGCGCACAGTGTAGGTAAAAGAGGATTTGAAGGTTCTACCCATTAAGTTACAAGTTACAAAAAGAGTTTAAAAAGCAGAATATTTCAAAAAGTATAAAATATTTTGAAAAAGTTGAAAGTTTCCCATCATGTGCTGAAAAGGCTGAATAGTTTGATATTTGAATGGTTTTCTGTAGCTGAAAGTAGGCTGAAGTTATTGAGAGCCAAACTATTTTGGTCAAATAACAAAAAGAAGAAGAAGAAGAAGATTAAGGAAACAGAAGAACTTTAGTGTGAATGCTGTTGCATTAAAAGCGGAAGTGATGATAAGAGGAATTATTTTTATATGAGTCTCTACATAATTTTTTCTTTTGGACATTTCTCCATATAATTTCTTTACAGATAACTTATGTTTGTTTTAATTTGTTCACGTACTGTATCCAAGCTGAGAGATTACAAAACTTTGGTCTTCCACATTTCTTATGGTGGCGAGGTCCCCTCCTTCAAAGCGACAGTCTCTCTGGGCATCAGGCCATGTTTTCTGAGTACGGTTAAGGTTGAAGCAGTGGCCATTGTAGGCAATCCAAGGGGCTGAACAAAATCCTGTCTCTGCAGCTGATCATGCAAAGAAACAAATATATATATTGATTGATTGACATGTTAACAACAGTTTGAAATGGGATTTGTGGAGTAGAGTAAAATAGATCTTATTCTTCACCTTTTGTAGGCAGTGCCTCGGCTGCTTTACTGTAGCAGATGTATCCGAGTTTCTTGCTGCAAAGTGAACTTTGCCATGAGTACTGTACAGCAGGATCAGCAATTGCACAGTTGTGTCCAGGATCAGCAAGGGGATGTCCTAAAAGAAAGCGGCAATTACTTGACATGTTGGTTTAGCAAAGCTTCATATTCTTCTATAGTTGATGGATGAGGGATCATGTTACCTTTTATAAACCTTACAGATTAATATGGGAGTATCACTCTTTTATTCTAACTCTGAAAGCAAGTGTTTTCCCCAACATTTGGACTACTTTAGTTCCAAGGAGAGCTGATTCGAGCAATGGGATGTATAACGGTCCCTGCAGAACCTACTGTACCTGGCTTGTGTATATATTTAGGCCTAGACCTTTGGGTGACTTACTGAATAGACAATAAATAACGCCTTTATTAGTAGTCATTAGTTTTATATTTAAAAGGAAGCCAAGGAAGGGATTTAGTTTTCCTCTTGGTGTTTGTCAGTAATCTAGCAGCAGCTTTTTGAATGTTTCAGTTGCAACTGACCAATGGTTTTATTGGGGAGGCCAGTTAGGAGTGCATGAACACTTTCGACAAATAATTGCCTGAATGGTCTTTTCTATATCTAGCTTGGACACAAAGTTTTATCTTTTTTTAAGATGCCAGATTATAGACTTCGTTTCAGCTTTAATGTGGCCAAACAAAATGGAAATGTGGTTTGTTGAGTATTCATTTGTTTTCAACACACTGGATTCTATTTTGTCTAAAATGGATTTTATTTTCCTATACATTTTAGGATATTGCAATTTTATTTTATCAGAATAGAACCACAAAGAAAAATACCTACCAGAGTCCCAATTCATATAACGGTAAGGTCTCCCATTAGACCATTTCCAGCCATGCTCTGGATCCAGGAACAGACCAGTCCAAAGCTTATTGCCTCCTGTACCTAGTAGTGCTGGCATGGAAATCAAAAAGGACAAAACATTTAGTCTTTCCCAATGCCACTAATTGGTGGTATGGCTAAAGGTTTCTGATCAATGTTTATATGCATATATTCAGAGTCAGTGTCACCTTACCTGTGACAAAAGCCTGCTGGTGAAAATCGTAGATACTCAGCAAGGAGGCCCCCTGCTGTTTGCAGCTGGCTTCAGCCTGGGGCCAAGTCAGAGCTGATTGTGAGTTGAGCTGGTAATATTCTCCTGTGGTTGGGTGTGTATTCCAGTCTCCTTTTGCTATGAATGTAAAACATAAACATGTTATGTTTGCTACTTTCTCCCTGTGAACTAAAAGCTCACCTATTATGCTATATTTGAAAGATATCTTATAGGGTCATATCTATACAAAACATGTCTCTGAAGTGTTTTGCTCAAAATACCAAACAGATCACCCATTGTAGCATGCCTCATACCCCTCTATTTCAGCCCTGTTACGAAAGTGCTGATTCTTGGTCTTGCCCTTTAAATGTAACTGAGCTGCTGCTGGCCACGCCCCTTTGGAGCGTCAGCATGCAAGCAGTGAGCTCTGTGAAGACAAGGCTGACTTCCGGCAGAAACTCAGGTAAACGCTGCCTTGATTAAACGCCATATTATGTTCCAAACCACATCAAGCATTATTTCTGAAACAGTATGGAGCAGAAACGCTTTCTCTCGCGCGGGTTTACCACAAGGACAGTACCTTTTTTGTGTCGTGTTGGCGATCCTTGCTAATGTAAACACAGACCATATTACTACCAAAACACGTCGCGTATTGTTTCTGATACAGCGAAGTTTCTGATAGGGGACGATAGGTTGGGCTGGACGTTGCCATGAGTTCAATGTGAAGCCAGCCCACATTTTAGTAATGACGTCAAGTTTGGATCAGCTCCGTTGTACCCCGTTTTTAGAGATGTGGGTAAGGAGGAAAAAAGAGAGGGTTGTATTTTCTGACACTTTGTGAGTCACCTTACACACCAGGGACACATATTTATGTATAAAACACATACAAAAGTGCATTTTGCATAATAGGTGACCTTTAAGTTTTATATCTTTGTCTTCATTAAAGGAAAAGGGTTGACTGTAAAGTAGCGTTAGTCTCTAAAGTAAATCAAATGACACGTGATCTGAATGATTTAACTTGAGTGCCTAATTTTTACCAATTAAAACATCTGTTGACACTAGACCATGTTTCAATTTGATCCAGACCAAGACAAACTCTTCTGTCCTGACAATGGTTTGGCGTGTGTTCTGGGATGTTATTATAAATACACATCTGTAATTTTGGTTCTAATCAAACAAAAAAATTCAGATTTTCATACTGCAAACATGTAGGTGTTAAAGGGCCTAAGATGCATAGTAATGAGATAATAGCAGGTTTCAATAATAATCTAATAATAGTATTAAGAGTCACATATTGTACTGGCAGTACTCACTTGTAACTGGGCAGAAGCCCCAGCGTTCGCTTTGATATTTTGTTTCAACTGCACACCAAAGATGCCTTTGGGGAGAGTCGAGCGCAATGCAATTTGAGTACCACTTGTCTTTGTACTTGAAGGGAAACATGCACGGCAGTCCAGCTGCATTTCCATTAATTGCAAAAAGTTCTGAGAGTTACAAGAAAAAAAAGCAACAATTATTTGACAACTTCAAAACAATGCTTGATTATATTTGAATGCAGTTAGCAATCCTGAAAATATGTTTTTGTGATTTTTAAATAAATAAGTAAATAGCAATGCATGAGTACTACTATTTTAATCTTCGGTTGAATAGAGCTAACATGTAAATATATTTTTTAACATCATCTCTCTAGAAGGTTTTCTCTAAAAATGTTGGTAATCTATTTTAAGAACTTGAAATCCAATGAAAAACGGTTTTGGTGTAGGGTGCCCTGAGGACAGTGCAGTTCCTTAAAAACATTGCATTTGTATACTGTACCTCTGTATGTTCTTGCACAAGCACCACTGGACGTCCCTGAAATTGTAAGGTGGTTGTTTGGTCCGACTGTTTTAGAGAGAACTGCTGTGTTGTCTGCAGTGAGCTCAATGTAAAACTCTTGTCCTTTGAGGGCGAGCAATGTCCCGTTCTTGCATTCCCACTTTTGGAGGTCGCTGTTTTCGTCACATTCATGGAGGCTTATTTCACTTCCCACACTTTTACCTTGGACTCCAAGGCACTTATTTGACAATTGAACCAGAAGTCGGTCCCCATTTGTCCAGCGTACATCATTGCAGTTGTTATTTGTTTTAACCAAACAAAACCCAGTGTTCTTGTTAGTGAGTTGAAATGGTGAATCTGTTCAGAAAGAATGACACACTGTACTTACAAGAAACCAGAAAAATATATGAACAACTGTTTGTCTATCATTGACTGAAAATAATTCAAAAATAAAGAGAACTTTAATAAGCAAAGTTACAATCATCTGTTGTCTTTTAAATATAAATACAAAAACTGAAATCTGTTTGCTATTGAACTGTAGCAAATAAACAAGAATGTGTTTAACTCATCTGACGCACACTGACACATGAATGCACACTGCAGTCTCACATAAAGAGCAGTGCATATCTAAACAAACTAACAAAATCTCTTAAAAGTTGAAATACTGTACCATCTGAAGCCAAACATTGCAATGTTTGGATGAGGAGCAGTAAGGCTGTCCAAGTTATCTTCATGGTTGCTATTGAGATATCTCACATCTGAAGACTTTATCCATGCATTTCTTGCAGCGTTTGAGAGTTGTGTGAATAATTGTTGAACGTCAATTTTATAGTACTGACACATCCTGTCCTGCCAAGTCGTCAGAACTTTGTCTTAGACTTTTTTCTTTCTTTCAATTTCACTTCCGATTTTTTTTAACCAGACCCCGAATGCTGATACTTGCACATTTGGCTGTTTTCATCTTCATACACATTCTCAGAAAACAAATAAATGTACGTGTCATTTGCCATTTCATAATAATCAGACACGGTGGAAAACAAGAAGTACTAGTATAATGCTCCAGTAAATGATCATTTAAGTGATAGCCAGTTAATGCATATAACCCGTGAAACAGATCAAAACAAAACAGGTTTTTCTCCTATCTCAACATACATTACAAGCCAATACGGTAACCAACAGTTATTGCATTTATTATTTATATACATTGTTATTGTTACATTTATTTTACATTTATGAATATAAATGAAAGTGCCTGCTATGATTTTAACACCCTTACAGTATGTGAGGACAGAGGAAGCAGATGTGATGCAAAATGCGGTTGATGCCAAGCATGATTCACACAGATACCAAATAACATTGGGGTTGGCCGTTTGGTTCTTCCCTTCCACTTTAACTGGAGAACAGATTGTGTAATATTCCCACCAAGGAAGCTATCATAATGCTGACTTTCTTTTTTTTTTCTTTTTTTTTTTTGTGTGTCTGAGCAAATATTAGGCCTTCTCGAGAATTGTTTGCAAGAAAGTCCCCAGTGTTATTAATGTTGTGTTAAAATAATTTTTCGACATAGTTAGTGTGTTTCATAGAATGGTTGTTGAACACTAACCAGCAGACACACATTACAGATACGGTTAGGGTGACCAGGTGTCCCGGGACTGCACAGCATTTTTATCATTTGTCCCGCGTCCCACAAATTGAGACTATGTCCCGCATTTGAACACGGAGCCCCTTTACCGACATAAAATAGAACGAAATAGCGGGATAAACTTTTGGTGGTGTAAAATGGAGCCTGGGAAAAAGAAAATGCAGCTACAACAAAGCCTGGGAAGGTACTTATTCTTGGGTGAAACCAGTGGAGGGAGTGTTTTGGCTCGGTACGCTGACGGCCAGCACTGCCCTTTATTATAAAGGGCGCTGACAGGCGACAGAGGTCCATTCCATATGTGTTAAAAGAACACATGGAATTTTCTAGTAAACAAAAAAGTGTTAAAAAATCCAGAATATGATTTATATTTTGCTGGCTACTGCAGAATGCTGTGGTAGCCATGCTGGTTGAGTGTGCTTTGAACTCTGAATAAATCATCAACAGTGACACCAGCAAAGCCCCCCCCACACCATCACACTTCCTCCTCCATGCTTCACGTTGGGACCAGACGTGCAGAAACCATCCGCTCACCTTCTTTGCGTCTCACAAAGACACGGTGGTTGGAACCAAAAATCTCAAATGTGGACCCATCAGGCCAAAGTACAGGTTTCCACTGTCTAATGTCCAATCGTTGTGTTTCTTGGCCCAAACAATTCTCTTCTTCTTGTTCTTCATCCTCAGTAGTGGCTTCTTTGCAGCGATTCGACCATGAAGGCCTGATTCACGCAGTCTCCTCTGAACAGTGGATGTTGAGATTGTCTGCTACTTGAGCTCTGTGATAATTTATGTGGGCTCTAATCTGAGGTGCTTTAATTTGCGGTTTCTGAGGCTGGTAACTCTTGTGTATTTATCCTCTGCAGCATAGGTAACTCTTGCTCTTCCTTTCCCGGGGGGTCCTCATGAGAGCCAGTTTCATCAAAGCGTTCCATGGTTTTTGCGACTGCATTTGAGGATACATTAAAGGTTCTTGACATTTTCCGGATCGACTCGCCTTCATTTCTTAAAGTGATGATGGACGGTCGTTTCTCTTTACTGAGTTGAGTGGTTCTTGCCATAATATGGATTACAACAGTAGTCAAATAGGGCTTTCCACTGTGCACTAACCCTACCTCTGCACAACACAACTGATGGTCTCAAACACATTAAGAAGGCAAGTCATTCCACAAATTGAATCTTGACAAGGCACACGTGTTAATTGGAAACCATTCCAGTTGACGACCTCATGAAGCTGACTGAGAGAAGCGAAGAGTGTGCAAAGCTGTCATCAAGGCAAAAGGGGGGAACTTTGAAGAATATAAAATAAAAATAATATTCTGGATTTTTTTAACACTTTTTTGTTACTTAGATAATTCCATATGTGTTCTTTCATAGTTTTGATGTCTTCAGTATTAATCTACAAAGTAGAAAACTATTTAAATAAACAAAAAACATTGAATGAGAAGGTGTGTCCAAACTTTTGACTGGTACTGTATATGCGGCTATAGATTAGCCATAAGAGAGTCGACGTTGCAAGTCCGTCCTCATTGGCCCCTCGACCTTAATGGTCTCCTATCATGCAAAATGCACTTTTTGATGTCTTTTATACATAAATATGTGTCCCCGGTGTGTAAGGGAACCCACAAAGTGTCAGAAAACAAAACCCTCTCTTTTCCTCCATACCCAAATCTAAAAAAACAGGGGTACAACGGAGCTGATCCAGATTTGCTGCGGTCATGACGTAATATTGGAAATGTGGCTGGCTTTACACCCACGGCCCTATCAGAAACGTCGCTGTATCAGAAACAATGTGCCACGTGTTTTGGACATAATATGGTCAGGAAGCAGGATATAAAAACTTTAAAGGAACTCACCTTGTGGTAAACCCGCAAGAGAAAAAGCATTTGAGTTCCATACTGTTTCAGAAATAATCCTTGATGTGGTTTGAACATGATATGTTATTTAATCACGGCAGCATTTAGCTGAGAATGCTGAGTTATCAGCCTTCTCTTCCCTCTGCAGCTCACTGTGTGCCTGCGTGCTCCAAAGGGGGCGGGGCCAGCAGCTACTGACCCAGAATCAGCCCTTCTCTAACAGGGCTGAAACAGAGGGATATGAGGGATGTCTAAAATGCATGATCTGCTTGGTATTTTGAGCAAAACGCATCATAGACATGTTTTTTATATATTTTTATATATCTGAGACCCATAATATATGCCTAAAAATAGCATAATAGGAGACCTTTAAATATGGACTTGCAGGAGCAGCACAGACAGTAGGCCTGGTTATATAACCACTCAAATATAACTCATTTAGTCAAGGAAAACTTTATTTAAATACTTAAGTATGTGTTCATTTTTGACAATAATGTTTTGGTTAAAAAGGAAATGGCATCTGTGAATTTGAGAAGTGAGCTGTGATAACAGTAGTGTTGTGTACTTACTTACTTTATTTATTTATTTTTAAACCTTTTATGCTCTTAACCTTTTATTTTTATTTTTTATATTGCCATATTTTATCCAATATGCTCCTTTAGATATATATATTTTTTCCTTATAGCTTTGTGAAGCACCTTGAGATGATGTTGTCTTTAAAGTGTGCTATATAAATCAAATGTATTATTATTATTGAGTAAGAGGTCAAAAGAGTAAAAAGTGAGATGTTCTAGTATAAATTGCTCAATAAACAAAGCAAAGGGCCACATCTTACATCTAAAATAAAAAGATCTGGTTGGCCACTGCAGATCGTTCATTATTAAAGGTGGGGTAGGTAAGTTTGAGAAACTTTTTATTATATTCCATGGAATGCTCTTAACATCCCGATAGCAATGAATATCTTAAGTGCTTTGACAAAAAATCCATACAAAAATATCATCTGTGGAAGCCGTAGTACTGTAAAAAGCACAACCAATCATTGTAACCGGCCCGGCTAAAATAACTGGATGGCCTACCTGCCTGTCAGCCTTCCATCTGTGCACAAACTTATCTCGTGCCCTCATTGGTCATGTGCGCGTTCGTGTGTGTTAGAGGAGGGGCTCTGTAAGGAAGTGGCAGATTTTTTCCGGCTGTGTATTTTCAAATTCTAGCGCACTCAAGCTGGTTTCTCCAAAATTACCTACCCCACCTTTAATAATAATAATAATAATAATAATAATACAATTTATTTATATATCTCTTTCCATGGTACTCAAAGGCATTTACAGATATAACAAAAAAAAACGTTATACAGTATACAACACACAATATTTATAACACATTTAAAGCAATTCTTGAACATGGTCTGATGCAGTGACAAATGTGTTTAGGGAGAGAGTTCCAGAGGGAGGGGGATGTTTCATTTCATTTAATTTCAAACCTTTATTTATCCAGGTGTATCCCATTGAGATCATTGATCTCTTTTTCAAGGGAGACCTGCTCAAGTAGGTTCCACATGAAACATAAAAAGTAAGATAAACAGAACAACAAAAAGGACATCATACAGCATCATTACAAGGGATTACAATTTACATAACATGTTACATCACCACTCACCGCCTTGCTAACCACCTGCTGATTTCACCAAGGGGGTTAACCCAACGTTAGCCACACCTTTGATACGGCTCACTTAAAGTTGTCAGACTTTTTAAGATGGACCAGCTATTCTTATTTAAGTAACATATTGATCACCAGTCTTCCAACTACTGTTCTATTTGTATTATTTTTTAAATAAATAATAGATTGTTCTTAATTTCAGTGTTTAGAATAAAGCAGCAATCAAACAGTTTAATCCTGTTTTAGTTTCCTAAAGTGAATTGGTAATAACTGCATTGAATAGGCACGTGATTGTCTGTCCGTGACAAATATTCAAATACACTATTATCCTAACAATTTTAAGTCTTCCCAGTACATCCAATTAATATGTTTCTTCATAGTCATTACAACATATATGAACTCAATTATCATTACAAATACAACATCCGACAGTCCTCGTGGATTTGGACATTTAAGTTAGTCATTTCTAAATCTATTGAAACTTCTCCCATTTCAAACACACTGTGAAATCTCTGGACATGTCAGGTATGTTTACCATTTGATCCTGCTTTTTAGTGTTTTTTGAATTACACTGATACAACAGGTTCAGGGCTGTCTTCCTCTGCATTCTCTACCAGTTTTTCGGTGTCAACCACACCAGTTTGTGACTTCTCCTTGCTGAAG